CCCCCCTCGCCTCCCCCTCAGACGGAAGGCCTGCTCTCTGTCCCTCACTCACCCTCCCAGGGCCAGACCGGCTCCCATCACCAGCAGGTAGTTGCTCTGGTAGTAGAGGAGGTTGTTGACCAGGCGGTGCTGCCAGCGCTGGCCATCGCGGAGGTCCGGGAAGGACAGGCGGCTGGAGCCCAGCAGGAAATCCTCCAGCGCCCGGACCGGCGGCAGGCGCACCTCGGACATCTTCTCCTCCTCCTCCTCCTCTTCTCTACAAGGACTACAAGGCCCAGGAGGCAGCAGCGGCAGAGGCAGCGGAGGCGCATCGCCGCGGGGAGAGATGGGAAATGGAGTCCCACCTGGGTGACTCTCCTTCTGAGGGGAAGGCTAAGTGCGCTTGTGGTGATGTGGCTGTTTTTACCACAGACATACATTTATTTGTTTATTTATTTGTTTGTTTATTTCCTTTTTTCTTCTCTCCCCCCCCACCGGCTCCTTATTAATCTTTGTTGAATTTTTGTAATACAAAAGCAATACACATACATTTAAATGATGAACAATAAAATAAGACAGTATACAGACACATTTTTATAAATAAACATATCTTTAAATTTAGTTATTAAATATTAAATTATTAAATATATTTATGAAATAATTATTATTAATTATTAAATAGTAAATTTAACACAGGCTTCCCAGGATCTGTTTCTTGAAATATTTCTGACTATTTCAACTGACTTTTGATTCTCTGTATATTATTATATGGTTAATAATTTCCCCCCCCCCAAATATTTATCATTATCTTTACTTCTGTAATTTTTACCCTTCATATATTTGTTTTGTTTTGTTATTTTTTCCTAGACATTTATTTATTTCCATTTTTTTTAATATGAGGCTCATTTTTATCCAAAAAAGGGCGTTACATGTTTTTGTTTCAGTGCCCATTCCAGGTTTGCCAAGATGTGGACTTCAGCCTTGAGGTGTTTTTGTCTCTCCCTCTGAATATTCCTTACCTCTGAAATTCATGGGATTTCCCTCAGTCGACTTGAAGGCACATA